GAAGTTTCGATAGTATTACATATTACATATATTATATTATTACATTATAATATAAATTATTATATTGTACGTAGAATATGTATAACAGTTAGGAAATAACTTGTTAATCTTGTTATTTATAACAAAGTTACAGTTACGGCTACTTTTTTTTCAGTTAACGTGATTTAATTTAATTATATTTTTTTGTAACTGATAACTAATTTAATACTTCTTATAATTATTTTTATAATAATTATATACCAAACTTATTCATCGGCATATGGACTGAATGAAGTATTTAATGAACAATTCGCGATTATTTCTTATGATTAAAATATACAAATCTTTACGTCTGTTAATCATTACATTGTGTAAATGTTTGGATTAAGTAAAATCTTTTTAGCATGTAAATATGTCTTAATATACATTCCATAATTTTGATTTCAAATGTACATATTGGATATACATTAATTTATTATAAAAAATGTAATATATAATAATGCTTAGTATAATAAGAAAAATAATTTAGTAACGTTAGAAACGTTAGATTCCTGAATGTTAGATATTTAAAATAACAATTCAAAGAGTATAAAAAATTAACAGAGAAATAACTGAAAAATAATGACTCGTTTTTAAGTAACTGTAACTGTGTGTTACTTTTTGATACATGACATGAACGTTTCAGAAATCGAATTCAATTAGCTTCACAAAAACGGAATAAAGAAAATTAATAAAGTTCCTACAAAACACAAACTATACTAACAATCATATTCATCAATGTGACAATTTTCTACTCAATAATATAACTGTCATGTACAACATGTGTTGTATTATATTTATGTTGTTGAACGGGAATTAACATTGATGCAATGTTACCGTGTGTTAGTTTGTGTTCTGCAGAATTGTAAAGTAATCATAAACTTGGATATCAAAATTTAAAAAATAAAAAAAAATATAATTAATTTCTTTTGAGAGTTTAGTTCGTATAACATAAAACGTAGTATATTCAATAATTATACATCATCGATGAATCGACTGGGCATATTGAAGATAGATTGTGTACAAGCATGCAACGTATTAATAGTTATGAGTAAACGTTGAGTAAATCTGGTACAAGGTTGCTAATGGCGAACTGCCAATAGTTTGCCACTGTTAGCTTCGTATCGGATTACTAGCTTTTCTTGCCAAATCAATGTGTCAGACGCATCTCTGTTGCAGATTGATCGTTGCTGAAAAAAAAACGACGATCATTCGTCGTTTTTCGAATCGTAATGTTTTACTCCGAGATTCAAATACAAAAAGATATAGCAAGACATCATACTTTTCCTTGCTCGAATATGTTCGAGTTACTGCAATCTACTATCGGTACAGTAGTAGTCTTCTACATCGATACTTGGGTAGTTTAGAAGAGCTCTCGAATGAAGTACACAGTTTACGGACATCCTATAGAATCTTACAAATAACTTTGAAGCAGGCAAAAGTATATACATAGTTCTAATTTTGATAATAACTTCTGAGAGAATTGCTCATCCCGTTTTAAGAGCTACAGCTTACTCTTAATCTTAATCTTAATAACTGAAATATTTCGAGTCCTATAGTGATCCTTTCAAAATATAATTAATAATAATAATAATAATTTTAAAAGCAGTATTTTCGGAAAAAATTTTCAGATTCAATCTGCAAAAATTTGTTAGACAAAGGTATCAAAAAAAAAAAACTAATCTACTTTAAAGAAAGAAAGAAATAAAGAAACAGAATCCTGTCGATATTGCTAAAGATGCGATACGATGTCCGAAACTGTTTTTGAAAAATTATTCAAATCTCTAATTCAGATTATTAGATTAACCGTCAAGAGATATCAAAACCAATAATAATTCTATATTTAAAAAAATTATGTATAATCATCTTAAGTTTTGATAAAAATTTCAGTTTATCCGGGAAAGGAAGAAATTCAAATTAGAAATTTGAACAAACAGTCGAATAAAATTCAATACAACAATCATATGCTTTTTCAAAACTTTAAAAAGTTTGAAATAAATTAATATTTTTTTTCTTAAATTATAAATTAAGTTAAAATTAATAATTTATAAAATTAATTCAGTTCAGTTAAAAGTTAAGTAAACCAAAAACTAATTCAGTTAAAGTTACATTGAATTAACTCAAATTAAATAAAATTTAATTTAAAAAATATTATTTTTATTAAATCAGAATATAACCTAATTTTTTTTTAAATTAAATTGTTCTAATGACAAAAGAATTTGAATTGTAGATCACACATCGAATAAATTAAATATTTTATTTTTAAATTATATGAAATAACAAAAATATTTCTTAAAAATTGATTTTTAGTGTTTTTACAAGTATTTTCATATTTTGATATTTATATTATAAAAAAATAAAATGTAACTTTTAAATGATTTTGTTCTCCTTTTGTGCTGGTCAAACCTGCACATTTTTTAAAAATAAATATATAAATAAAAAATTTTTATTCTTTCATTATTACTTATTAGACGTAAAACAAGGATAATATGACTAATTGATTTCTTAAATGCAGATCTAATCCACGTTCATCTTTGAATTACAAACGTCACGTCCATAATCGTTGAGTTTTTCTTAAATCTAACTTAATTCTCTAACGTTTAACATTTTATAAACAATAATATTGACTTTTATATATAGAGAGAGATAAAAGAACTTTAACTTAAAAAGAAAAAAGTTAATGAATTAAAAACAGGTATATAAAAGTAACTAAATTAAAAGTTTTTAACTTTTAACTTATTAACTAGTTACCACTCAACTTTGTTTAAACAACACGTGACTGCCGCGCAGACGTTTGCCTTGGTCTGACCAGGGTAATTTGGTCAATTTTTGACTTACTACACCATATCGCATCTATATAGAGTTTGGCAGGGCGCCGGCGCCGTTTTCTATAAATAGCGGGTGCAACGCTGACCGCCGCTCGCGGCGATTAAAGTAGCGACAGAGACGAGGCGAGAGAACGTTAGGAATCGCGCGGGGGGACGAGGAAGTGGTTATGGACAGCGAGCGGTGCGACGGCAGTAGTAACGGGTAGTAGTCCAGATCGCAGTAGTAACGGTTCGCTACTCGCGCGGCGCCTTTCAGCTCTGCTCCGCTTGGCTCCGCTGCGGCCGCGACGACGATCAATCGAGCCGGCGGGAGGGTGCGACGCGCTCGTATACTCCGGGTTTCCTCCTCTAAGGAAAAAAAAAACCCTCGTCTCTCGAAGTCCGGAGGTGCCTCGATCGGTTGTGAATACTCGAGGAGCGAAGCCGAATCGTGAATACTTCGGTCTCCAACAGATCGGCCCCGCAAAGTCTTGGACTCCACGTAAATCGCGCGCGAGAGAGAGAGAGAGAGAGAGAGAGAGACTTGGGACGACGAGGGTCGGGGACACCCCGTTACTGGATTCGCGGGGTTGATCCTGGCCGCAGCCGGCGGGGTAGCGAAACGCGAGAGTGCCGTCGTGTGTCACTCTCTCCCGCTCGACTATGTGCCGGCGTTTCGCGATTAAGACGCCGGGATCATCGCCGTCGGTGATCAACGCCGTCGCGACGTCGACGGAGCGCAAGACGTGAGACCCGTCGTTTATACGCGTCAGCTGATCCGACGTAAGCCGCGAGGGACAAAGGAGGTGATTATGTAAACGGTGCTCAGCGCTGGAGGTCCGCGGTGGCGGCCAGTTGCACGCTCGTCGTCGCCGTTGTCGTCCCGTCGACGACCGGTGAATTCCCTCCCCGCGGTGAAAGAGAGACTAATTATATTCGCCTCGTGGGACGAGGTTACTAACCAGCCAACCCTCCGGCCTGCGCCTGCGTGCGTGACCAGGCGTTTTCCTCTCTAGAGGGAATACGAATGACGACGCTTTAAACGCGTGGGATAAGATTGAAAAATAATCGATGTAATGAGAAAATCTCGGATTCTTTTGTGTTCAATCTGCTAGACATTTAAAACGTCGTGGAAACATTATTAAAAAAAAATGTATAGACGTATTCGAAATTTAAGGGTTTAGCGTCTGTGATCTGATTGTGCGATCTAAATGCTACGATCAAAACGCAAAGAGCCAATTATAGTCGAGACAAATCTTGATATCTAATCATTACTAATCTTTAATATATGATTGGATTATTCATGTCCTGTGCATTTCTTTCTTTTTTTTTTTTAATTTAGGAATATTTGGCTAAATACTGATTTGTACCCCTTTTCCTTTATTTTTAATACATCACTTTATAAATACTTTCTAAAGATGTTAAAGTATATATAACAATCACTTAATAATTTTTGTATATTTGTAAGAGAGATGATGAAAATTGACTCAAGATACGGACGACCCCATCGTGTGCAGTAAAAGACTGGTCTTTTTAATATAATCATATATATATTACGGGTTAAATTGACGATTAATTTAATTTGTGGTATTATTATTTCCACTTTAGTTTATGATTGCGTTTCAAGTCCGATAGTAATTGATGAGCAATTTTATATAATTGGAAAATGTCCCAGTAAACACAAAGAAACAGTAATATAACACCAGTGTTATAATTTCACACTCGATAACTGTTATGTACAACGTACTTATATTTATGTTAAGTGTGAAATTATAACAATGGTATTATATTACTGTATTTATCGGAGTATTTAAAATATTTCCGTATAAATCGATGTTATAGACACTAAAATCTAATCTCGATTACATTTCACCTTTCTTTATTTAAATGATTTATTCATGTAATGGTCTTGTTTAACTTATTATTTACGTTTAAAGTCAGGAATTGATAAAGTATAATAAAGATTTAAGGATAACAGTTATTGACATGAATACTCATTAAGCTTCGATTGATTTGAATCATGTAATAAAAAAAAATTATCAATTGATTATATGAAATAAATCTGTAATTCGCATGTAAATGCCTCAGACGATTATGGAACGGAAGATTTATGAGTAGGGAGGGGACCGATTATGACTTTCCTCCGGCTAGTTTTATTCCACGATCGCGCTACTTCGGCGCGTCCATCACGCATAACTTTGACATATCACGCCACGACAGTAAATCCAAATCGATCAGCGCATTTCCAAAGTATACGTCTCACTGGATGCATGAAAAATTGCACATTGTACTAACTTCCGAAAGATTCGTTCGACGCGTCTTTCTGACGAGGACCGTAATCCATCTGGCAAGTAAGGCGGTGGTTACTCCGCTTAAATTATACATTCCGATTATTTCTCTGTACCTCACAGATCCACAATGGCTCTAGTAATGTTACCGTGTGACCTGCCTTGGTGGCCAGCTGTTGTAAAGCAATTGGACAAGGCCGCCTCGGCTAAAAACTCAGAGGACCTAGTAGACGCGATGCAACGATTGCATGACATGTGCAAGTACGACTCGCATTACTTACTCTTCCTTCTCATCGCCTATTAACCATGTTTTTCTATATACTTATATAAATATTTAATATTTGCTTTCCTAAATGAA